TGTTTAATATGTCTGACTTTTTTCACAATATGTAGAGGTGGCTGCCAGAGATTTGTCCAGATTACAGGAAGGGTGTATTGTGGAAAGAGAGGTCAAAAATACTCCATATTTTCCAGATCATGGACACACTTACAAGGGTACAATCTTCACAGGTTTTGTTCATATCCATCCTTCTCATTTTCTCCTTTCCTCCACTTTTCTTCTCGCCACTCTCTGTATCCCTTTTTGCTGCTCCAGGGAAAATGAGAGAGAAAAGATGAGATTTCCCCCTCACTGAAGTGTAGCAAAATCTTCCCACAGAAAGCTTAGAGGGGATAGCAATTATATTGGGTGTGTCTTTGTTTCCCAAGACCTCTACATCTGCTCAGAGGTGGCATCCCTTATATGAAATGCTTCGTTCTCCCAGAATAATGTTAAAACCCCTGGCAAAGAGCTTGTGGCATTCCTTTGCTTTTTCTGCGTCATCCCGGTTTCTTCCCCTCCCTTTTTCTCCAGAAAATTACATTCTAGCACCAGGACTTGGGGGAAATGTAATTTTTCCAGGTGCTTGGCTTTCACATAATCGTTAGTTGTCTGGGGAAAATTGCATGCTCTCCCAGGGCTTCTGACAATGGCTTCATAGTAATCCATATTCTGCATGTTGGAGCTGGGGAGAAAGTAGTGTGGGGGTGGGCAGGTAGTAGAAATTAAATGCCTTTTCCTTCTGTCTCTTGTGCATTAGCAGCTGGATAGGTGAACAGATGAGTGAAGCTTAGTGAGAAGGGGGAGCTGTTATGCCCGCCATAGACAGAAAATGAATTGGACACACTGGAGTTTGTAGTCCGGGCCAAGGAGCGACCAGCTGGCAATCCCACACCTGTAGAAATTAAACTTGCAGACTGGATGCAAGAGTTACTCAGCCTTTTCAGAGAAGTGGAAGAAGGTTCAGGGGAATTTATTTCTTCTTTCTCCCCACACAGAGAAGCCTAGGCCAGTGGTGGCGAACCTATGGCACGTGTGCCAGAGGCGGCACTCGGAGCCCTCTCTGTGGGTACGCGTGCCGTCACTCCAGCCCTGCCTCCCCCCGCAGCTCCCTCCTCACCAGCAGCCCCCCTGGAGGAGAGTCGGCCCCAGGCACAGCCCGCAGAGAGCAGTGCAGCAAAGTACATAGCCGGGCAGCAGGGACAAGACTCCACCCTCGCGCCCCATAGCGTGCAGATGATGCTGCGGGGTGTGGACGGAGGGTGTGGCTGCCATGGCATTGCAGGGTTGCCTGGGCGATCAGAGGGCCATGGAGGCGGTGCGTGGCTGGGCAGGCGGGGTGGGAGGGCGGAGCAGGCAGGGCGGGAGGTGGAGCGGGGACGGGGGTTGGTTTTGGGGCACTCGGTCTCTAAAAGGTTCGCCACCACTGGCTTAGGCGGAAATCAGCACCACAGGGCTTTAGCCACCAAGAAAAGAAGCCCAGGGTGTCCCAGGAGTCATCTCCTTCAGGGCACAAAAATAAATGTTCTTGGAGTAGCCCCTCAAATATGTCCCTTCTTTTATCTAATTCCCTTTATCTAATATGCCAGGAGGCTTCTCCCCCCCCCTCTGTTCTTCTTCCTCCCCTACTACTGATGGGCCAATACCATCAAGCCGATCCCTCGTATTGCATTGGACTTCCACTACCATCATCTCCAGCCAAGGCTCAAGATGCCGGCTTGATAGTCCAGCGTGTGTCAGACTTCCCAGGCCAGGGGTCTTCAAACTCGGCCCTTTTATGACTCATGGACTTCAACTCCCAGAATTCCTCAGCCAGCCTTGCTGGCTGAGGAATTCTGGGAGTTGAAGTCCATGGGTCATAAAAGGGCCTAGTTTGAAGACCTCTGTCCCGGGCAAACCAGATAGAAAACCTGACCAGATGAGCTAACTCTACTTTATTTTAAGGCTACCACAATAGATTCTTGCAAGTCTGAAAGTGCAGATCTCCTGCCTTCCCTTTCACAGCCTGAAAAGTCTCCCAAAGTCTTTCCCAGATACCATTATAGCCTGGCTGAAGTCAGCTTTCTCACTTTCCTCCATCCCCCCCCCCCCGTACGCAGCCCCAGCAGCCCCAGGATTGCTGCTGGGCCTGTTGGAGCCCTTTGGAGAAGTCAAATTAAGGGAAAAGGCAAAAACCACAGCCAAGTCTTCTCCAGGACAAGCTTGTTCTTTAAACACTTAAAAGGGGCATTCAGTCATGTGATGCCCCTACTTGTGGGCTGAAGAATGAACTCCAGAGACAGAGCAGTCATTAGGCGAAGACAAAGAGTCCAGTCTTAATTTGGTGCGTCCTCTTTTCCTGTCTTCTGAATTAATAATTTATCCATAGACTGTTTCTTTCTTTCTGCTTTTTTTTTTTTTAAAAAAAGAGGCAAGTGTTCTTGTATTTCACTGCCTCAGGCATGATAGTCCATCTGTTGGAGAGAGAAAAAGGAGGGCTCTTACACCTTTCAAGAAGAGAAGATTTGGGCTCTGGTCATATGACAAATTGAATATGTGGACCTCACTGCTAAGAAACCAGAAGAGAAGCACTAATCGGGACCTACAAACAGAGGTGTACAATCATTCTGGGATGCTGTGAAGCCAGAGCTACATTGAGCTTCATGGGACCCTTCAAGGGCTGTAAAAATGAACATTCGCCCATTCTCAGCTGTTAAGTCATTTCCCAATAATACTAAGATTGTTGGTTGCCGCAAGCAAGATTATTGGGTAGAAAATGAAGGCCCTTTTCATTCAGCGATTCTACAGTAGAAGGTCCAGATGACACAATGGGAATGGAACATCCCATCAGTTTCTTCTGATGTTATTTTGCCTGGGACTCTACTACAGCACCCATAGCTCACCTTCAAAATACAAGTCCTCTTTGTTCAGCCTTCAGCGTATCTCCACACTCAACACCAACACTATGGGGAAGTTAGGAAAATGACACCAGAGGCTGACAGAATATGAGAAAGGCTCCCCAGGCTGTTTGATTGATCGAGTAGACTGAATGACCAAATGGAATCTTGAGACATAGAGACCATAGCATGTGTAAGGTCCCAGGTTCACTCTAAGCCAGGAGTCTTCAAACTTGGCTCTTTTATGACTTGTGGACTTCAACTCCCAGAATTCCTCAGCCAGGCACGCTGGCTGAGGAATTCTGGGAGTTGAGTCCACAAGTCATAAAAGGGCCAAGTTTGAAGACCCCTGCTCTAAGCACACACCATGTAGAAGGTGGTAGAAAAAGCTCTTGCCACCATACCTGGATAGTGGCTGCCAATTGCAGCAGAATCAAGGATAGGTGTTCTATGCATTGATGAATCCAGCTACCATTACCTGGAACCATCACCACCAAAGGTAAAAAGTGACCCTGGTTGGCAAGAAAGGGAAGTGGCTGTACTCCAAACATTTTGGTCCAGCACCTACCATAGTCCTTTGCTATTTGCCATGGTGGCTGAGGATGATGGGAGTCCAAGTCCAAAACCTATGGGAGGCCCTCAGATGTAGCTTCCTCAGGTCTTTATTCATAACAGCTCAGACCAGGAACATTTTTAAAGAAAACATTTATTTACACATTTCAGCAAGTACAAAGTATTATACATGGTCTGGATCAACCCCAACTTTCCTTAGTATTTATTTTAATTATCAGTATAATTATTAGTAGTATTATGAAACATAAGGCGCTTTCTTTGTAATAGGTTTGGGACGGTGGGCATTGTAGCATGCCAAGGATACTTTTAAAACCAATTTTCTTTTCTTTTTTTCCCCCTTCCCTTCCTTTTTTCCTTCCTTTTTCCCTTTCCTTCCTTCCTTCTTCCCTTTCCTCCTTCCTTCCTTCCCCTCTTTCATCCCCCTCAACCACCCCACTCCATATTAATGTTCATTTTCCTGCCAGAGAGAAAGGCTGGGGTTTCTTTGAAAGGGGAGCCCTTATTACCATGTTGAATAAATTACTGACAGGGTTTGCCTGGGGGACAGCTGGGGGTGGCTTGCTTTTTCACTGCAGTAGGGTTGTCCTTAATGTAATAAATATATATATATATTATATTCCTTTGCAGAATGATTTCTAGAGGGCAGGATAGCCAGACGATTGACCATCCAAGGTAAAGGCCAGCCTTGGCCAAAAAAAGTGCCCCCCCCACACGCAAGCACGCACGCGCACGCGCGCGCCATACACACACACACACAGAGCACTCACGCGCGCACGCACTTCCTTTTCCTGTTTGTTCTGGCCTCCATATAAATAACCAAGATCCAGTCTTTCTCTCCCCCCTGCCTCCATATTAACAGTGCTCGGGCATCTTGGTGGATAAATAAATTAAACTATTAACATTTCTTACAAATAATAATAACAATAATAATTTTAAAAAGGTGACTCTCTATTCCTTCTTGGTTTTCCCCCCCAAACGGACCATAAGCGACAGGACTGGCAGGCGAGGCGAGGCGGGGGCACCCCCAAAATCCTCCGTAGGGAAGTCTCCCCCCCCTCCCACATTTAACCTCCCGTCCCCAGCAAACTGGAGGAAGAGAAGAAGCGAGGCGTCTCCGCTTTCCTCTTCTCGAGCAGCCCAAAGCCTCCTCCCCAGCCCGGGGCAAAGGTCCGACGGCCAAGTAGTTTCTCGACGGGAGGGTGTCGGGCGTAAAGCGGCGCTCTCGGCTCCCTTCCTTCACCAACCTTGGAGAAGTTCGCTCCGGCCGTCGGGGAAGCCTGGAGCTGGAAGAAGCGCAGCGGCCGGGCTCCGTCCAAAGTGCCGGAGGGCGGAGGCCCCGGGCCGAGAGAAGCGCCCCCACGCCCGGCAATCCTGGCAGCCGCGTCGGGGACGGCTCCGCCCAGGTCCGGGCCCGGCCGGGCAGCGAGACGACGCGCGTGTGTGAGAGACGTGGCGTGGCTTGCGGCCTCCTCCTTCCTCGAGGCGCCCCCGTTCACACGTTCCGTTGCGGTTCGGGTCATGCAGGGAGAGGCGGAGGCCGGGCCGCCTGTCTCTCCTCCCCGGGGGGCCCATCCGCCCGGACGACCCTCTTTACACCAAGGAAGTGACGGGGGGGATCTTGGCGCTCTCGTCTTCCCAAGGCTGGAGGTTCTGGAGGGCGAAGAGCGAGGAGTTGTGCAGGCAAAGCGGGTCGGGCTGGATCGACTCGTTGAGCGACTTCTGGAAGGCGTCGTGCTGGAGCTGCAACATCAGCCGGCTCGCCTGTTGCCGCTCGGCTTCCCGCTCCTCCGCCGTCTGCCTCCTGCGGACGCCAAGCACAGGGGTCAGGCTCTCCCGCCCCGGAGGCCCCGCGCCCTCCAGCCCTGCCTCCCTCCCTTCCTCCCTGGCCCCGGTCTCCAACTGGCGGCCTCCCCCCCGTTCCGCCCCCAGCACCCATCAGATCAAAGGGCCCAGCCAGCGGTGGGACCCAGAATAGGGAGGAGGGTCTGAGGAAGTTCCAAGGGGTCAGTCGAAATCGCAGAGGAGGAAGAGAGGAGGAGAAAGAGAGGAGGAGGAGGAGGAGAGGAGGAAGAGAAAGAGGAAGAGGAGGAAGAGAAAGAGGAAGAGAAGGAGGAAGAGAAGGAGGAAGAGGAGGAGGAGGGGGCTAGCTGAAGAAGGGGAAAACTCAAGATGGGTAGATGGAGAAAGTTACACATGCACACTCACACGCACAAACACCAATTCCCGAGGCGGGGGGGGGGAAGGCTACCGTGGCGACCGGGAGGGGGTCGAGGACTTCTCATTAGGTCAGTGGGACGGAATCCTCGAAAAAGGGGTACACAGCCGCAGGGACCCTCGTAGGGAGCTCCGCCTGGTGGTGGGGGCGATGATTGGATCGTTTTCGCACGGTTGGAAAGACAGCCCGGATTTACTTTTTTTTTTTTTTTGCATTTTATGCCAATCAGGCCTAGGCGAGGATTTATACTTCAAGGCGATTATGGTTGATGAAAGCACCGCGCCCGGTTCAGCATTGTCAGGAGCGGTTTGTTGGCTTCGGCTGCGGTTGTATCAAACCAGCCCGGAGAATTTAGGTATTTTATGGATCAGTGTGTCGTGCGAAAGAAGGGCACTGAATAAACTAAGCTGAATAAACAAAAGAGGTTTTAATAAACCCAGGTTCGGTTACCTATTATGTGCGAACCCCGATTTTTTTCTCTCTCTTTCTCTTTCCGAAATAGGGAGCATTTTATTCCTGGCCCATAAAAACTTCAAAAGTGACCAAGGGCTCTTCCGCTGCAGAAGCGACCGAGAAGCGGCTGCGGAGATCATCCGCTTTTTTCTCCCTTTCCCGAAAGGCCGGGGAACAAAAACGACGTGGTCGTTCGCCTTTGTGAGGTTTCGTGGTTGGTGCGTTGACCCTCCCTCCCAAGCCGATCTTGTCCTCCTCCCCCTCCCCGCCGAAAAAAAATGGAAATCAAAACCTAACGCTCTTCTTTCCCCCCACTTAAAAAAAAATATATATATAGCAGAGTCTGGATTCCCCAGATTTCTGCACCTCGGAAGTGCCCCCCTTTTCCAGAATATTTCCCAGGGAAATTCCGGGAGGGGAAACTGAGGCACGGCGCCCCAGACAAATGGCGTAGGGTTTTAAAATCAGAGAATGCAATCAAGAGGATTGATTAGGAGGGGGGGGGCAGGGAAAGGCAATTGCTTTCTTCGATCCCTTTTTTCATTTGATCCCGTTTTAATTGTTGTTGTACGTCGTGCGACGCACACTTAAGCCCTAAAAGGGCTGGGTGCGTTTGTTTGTTTGTGTGCGTACATAAATACATAGGAAAATGAAGGCAAAAACGTGGTTTTCGAATCCAGCGTTAAAAGCCTCCTGTTTCCCCCCCCCCACCCCCGAGAACCGGCTGTCAGCTCCGAGCAAAGTTCCGTCCCGGATCAAAACAACGAAGACTGGGACTGCACATAGGAGCTGGAAATTTATGGGAATTTTATGGGAATGCTTGCTGCATCGTATTCGCCTTGTTTCCTCACAGGGCTCAGAAAGGCGAGATATTACTACTATTACTACTATTACTATTACTACTACTACTAATAATTATTATTATTATTACTATTATTATTATTATTATTATTATTATTAAAATAATAATAATAATGATGATAATGATAATAATAATAATAAATAATAATAAATAATAATAATAATAATAATAAATAATAATAATAATAATAATAATAATAATAATAATAATAATAATAATAATAATAATAATAATAATAATAATAATAATGATGATAATAATAATACAAAAACCATTTTTCTGCCATCAGAGACAAACAAGCGATTTGAGGATCGGGGTCATGCAAGACGAGCGAGCGTGTATATTTACTTGGAGATGGGCTGCTCCCTTTGCTAGGCACAGTTGCTGTTCGCGCTGGGCGAGGAGGAGGAGGGGGGGGCAAAGGGACTTCGGGGCTCCCTGGCGACTCGCAGCCCCCCGATCCGCTTTCCCTCCGTTCTTAGCCTCCTCCACACCGTTGCGCCAGCCTGGCCGAATTCGCCTAAAAAAAAAAATGCCTACCTCTGCCAAAAATTAAACCAGAGGGCAAAGCAGATTTTTCCAAAGGTAGACCAGAAGCTGGACCAAAATCAAACAAGGGTTACGCAGAAGAGAGAACCACCGAAAGTGGGAGACGGGCAAACTGGTTTTCCAGAGAGAACACTTTTTTTTTCCTTCCGATTCTCAACCAGCAAGCGATCGACCATTTTCCCCCCCGTTAACTTTCTGAAACCTGAACGGAGACTCGCAAAGAGGGTTTGACCGGTCGTGAGAACGGTTGCTGACAAACGATGCGGGAACCAAGAGTTATCTGAATGCTTCTCCCCTATTTCTAAAAAGTCATAAACGAGTCCCTGTCATTAATTCTCCCCTGGCAAGTAGGATCATTTGGGCCCTGGCTGCTAACGCCCATTTTTCGGGTCGAGTTCCGACGGCGGTGGGAGGAAGGCCCGCCTGATTTGCGCCTTCTTCCTTTCCCGCTCCGGCCTTCCATCTTGGAGCGCCTTGCACTTTTTCTGAGCGAAGGGCCCTTTTCCTGGCACTACAGATACACGCACGGAACACCCATCATCGCTATACTTCCGAGCCTGAAGCCTGCCAACTGCTTAAGGAGAACTAAAATGGGCCTCGGATTCTGCAAGTTGGTGAAACCGATATGGGCCCACAAACGCATTGCGAATAAACAGCTTTATAAATCGAATAAAATGCACACACGCACGCCTCACGGGCGCGGATATCAGAGAATATCCTGCCGCGAAGCTTGGCAGGGCAAACCTCTACGTATAAGCAGCCACTATAAACCCCACTGCTCAGGGGAGAGCACTGATGGCGTTCCCTAGTCTGGTAATGCAACGTCTGCAAGAAGACAAACAAGTTCAGAACAGGGAAAAATTAAAAAAAACAAAAACCCAGCATACACATACAGCAGGTGGAGGAAAAAGCAAAAAAAAAAAAAATATTGGAAAAGAAAAACAAAGAAAAACTCCGGAAGCTAAGAAGTAGATTCTGTGGAAACCCCGCGAAGTGGATTTTAACAGCTGGGATCCGGCCAGCAGGTTCTGAGTGGAAAGACACCCCCCCCCGGGGCCGTCCCCGCAAAGCCTCAGTGGCTCAGGGCCCTTCAGGCCTCGGGCCTCCCGGACTTTGTCCGGAGAATTGGGCCTGGGAATTTGGGGTAGTTCAATTAAAACAGGCACCGAAAGAAACGAGGCGTTAAGTATATCGCAAACCGCATTAAGTAGGGCTTAACAGCGTTAGCATTTACTTTATTAGGAAAGGAAATATTAGCATAAGGGGAGAGTGACAATATTGTATTATTAGTATTGTAATACAATTTATACAACAACAATTCGCACGCGCCCGTTTTATCCTTCTTTGGCGTCTTGGGTTTTAACTTCACCCGAGATTTCAGACGAAAGATGGAGAGGATTTTCCCTGTCAGCCTATTTAGCTGACGGTCCCGTACGGTAGTTACAAAACAAAACAGAAATAGAAACAGAAACGGCGGCGGCGGCTTTGCAACTGGACCGGGGACTTGCTATTTGCGGAGACCCCGCAGCAGACTCGGCAAAAGAGCCATTGGGGGGGGGGGAATGGATCCAGACCACCACCCCCACTCCCTGTAGACGGGGGGGGGCCCTCTTGCTCTGGAGAAAACACTTTTGGAGATCTGAGCCCACGAAGTCAAAGGCCGCGAAATCGTGAATCCCGCGGGTTTCGCCTGGGACTGGACTTGCCGAAACCTCGGGAAAAGGTATTGTTCGACTCCATTCCGGCACCGGCACCTTCCAGCCGAGGAACAATCGCCGAAGACATCGCTCTAACATTTTCATGGGTTTGGGGAAGTCGCTGGGCCAAAATCGATGCGAGTCGGGCGGCAGATAAATTACATTTATTTGAATGGTTACAACGGTCCGTCGCGCAGTCAAGACTGATATTTAAACCGGGCTTGGCATTTTTATCCACCCAGCGAGTCCTTTCCCGATAACCCCAGGTAGGCAGGTGTTTGTTGTTTAATGGTGTTCAATAATAACATCGCAGGATGTTATTATTATTATTATTAACATCGTCAAGCTGGGGGATCGGCCATCTGGGAATTGGCAACGCTGGGTCGGGTCGGGGGCCAGCCATGCCTCCCCCTCCTTTGCCTTTGGAGGAAACGGGTTGGAAAAAACGGTGGGTGGACAGGAACGCCGCTCCCCTCGCCACGCGTGTCATTCGCGCGGCTTCTGCGTTTTCAGATCCACGCTCGCTGGAGGCCGCGGAGGAGAACCGAGGGAGCCGGATCAAGTCAGGAAGACATTCGGGGACAGGCCCTGCCAGAAGCCGGAGCTGGTCCCGGCTTGGCAGGGGAGCCAGCCAAGTCCTTTCCCCCGCTTTCCACGGGACGCGCGGGCCTCGGGACCCCCAGCCTCCCAGCGCCCCCACGGCGGCCAGGCCTCCGGGCCCATAAAAACCGGACAACGGCAGCTCTAGTTCTGCCTCAAGGTTCAGGAGAGGCCCGCTAAACGTTAGGGAAGGTCCGTTCTCAGCCGGGAGTTGCAAATTCGGCGTCGGCTAGGCTCGCTGATCTCCGTTTTAAGCCTCGACGCTGCGCGCTCCACCGAAGCGGCTCCGGACCCCGCTACCGCATCTGCCCCGTTTGCCAAGCTCGGTCGGTGGTTTAACACTGGATAACTTTCCTACAGTGAAATTGCACGGGTCAGATTCAATAAGTGCACTGAGCGTCGCGTGTGAACGCCGCCTTCTCGCTCGTCCTGCTTTAACTTTCCCCTTCCGAGCCTCTCCAAGCCTTGAAAAACCAACACTAACCAAGGAGGGCAACCTGGCATTAAACGCCCTGCGCTTGAGGAGCCGGTTTATCCATGGGAGCCTCGGTCGAAAGGCAAACGGGCTTTCGCCGCCCGCCCCCCCCTGTCCCTCTGCGCCTCTTGGGCCCGCAGACGGGGCCAACCCGCATCTGGGCCCGCAAACGCCCGCGCCCGTTCTTGGCTCAGCCTGGCCCCCGTTTCCAGAAGCCTCTTCCCGGGGCGCTTTTCTTTTAAAGACTTCTTCAACACCCCAGGGAGGAAAGAAGGTGGCGGGACGGGCCTGGGGGATTCCGGGCACCTGGCTTGAGGGTGCCCTAAGAGAATTTGCCCGTGACTCGCGGACTCGGCGCGGGAAGCCATGGTTTGTGTGAATGTGGTTTACATTGAAGTTCTCGCGGTTGCCTGGGATCGTCCGCCTCTAGCCCCAAAAGACCCCAAGCGGTCGTTGTTTTAGCGGTCGTTGTACCGAAGCGGTCCTTTGCTCGGCGTCTGCCAGGCCTCCTTCCGGCCAAGCCGGGTTTTAGGCCACTGGGCTCCGAGGGTCCAATGCAAAGAGGGGGAGGTGGGGAGGAGGAGGAAGAGAGGAGGAGGAAGAGAGGAGGAGGAGGAGGAAGAAGAAGAGAGGAGGAGGAAGAGGAGGAGGAGGCAAATCCCGGTTCCCAAGCGGGTTGGCCTAAAGAGTGGACACACTGGGCCAGGCCTAAAGAGTTCACCAAAGGTGGCGGGCCTTGTTTCGCGCCTACACGGCGCCCTGCAAGGATTGCGAAGGGAGGGGAAAGGAGGAGGAACCCCGACCAAGCCCGACCCGCTTCCCCTGCTCGGCGACCCCCGCCCGGTAGACCTCTCCCTCCCCCAGACCCCAGACCCCAGACCCAGCCGCGCGTCCGCGGAACTCACCGCCACTTGGTCCTGCGGTTCTGAAACCAGGTCTTGACTTGGGCGTCGGTCATCTTGAGCGACTTGGCGAGCGCCGCCCTCTCGGCCGAGGCCAGGTACTTCTGCCGGTGGAAACGCTTTTCCAGCTCGCAGATCTGCACCCGCGAGAAGGAGGTGCGCGGCTTCTTGCGCTTGGGCGGAGTGCGGTTCTGGTAGGGGTGCCCGATCCTCCGCGTCACCGTGAAGGGCGTGAGCGCCGCCGCCGCTGCGACAGAAAGCGGGAGCCAGTCAGCCAAGGGAGCCGAGAGCCGACGGGGGCCGGGTTGTGGGGTGGGGGGGGCTAAGCGGACCCCTTAACCCCTGTGTAGCCTCTGGGGCGGCGGGGTCGCTGGCTGCTTTCTCCTGGCGAGGCCTGGACCCGGAGCAGCCTCTGGGAAAGCCCCACAGACCTCAGCGCCCCCGGCCAGAGTCTTGGGCTGGGCTGGGGGGGGCTGGATGTTTGGGTAGTGTTGCCAGGTGTCCACTATTTGAGCGGACAGTCCACTTTTTTCACATTATGTTCACTATTTTTTTTTTCACAAAATAGTGGACATTTTTTTTTATTCAAAAGCTTTAGGATGAAATGGTACGTAATCTAAAGCTGTACAGTCTACTTTTTTTTACTACTTAACCCCCCCCCCCCGGCTTGTCCGCTATTTTTTGGAAACAGACCTGGCAACTCTATGCTTGGGGGCAGGTGACGGTCCTCCCCCCGCCCGCCCTCACCGGCCCCATGTGCTCGGGCGCTGGGCGCGGGGGGGCGCAAGGGGGGGGGCTCGTCCCGCCCCTGGTGTCAGCCCCTGCTGGCGTTGCTGTGGGGAGGGAAGCGAAGCAATTCCGGATCGATTAAAAACCTACAATATGGAAGAAGGTGTGCGTGGGGGGGGGGGTCTAATCCTGGAGGCTGTGCCGCAGAAGAACCGGGAGGGGGGGAATATGAAAAGAAAAAGAAATCCGTTTTGGGAAGAAAAATAAAAGGAGCGGTGATCTCTAGCTCAAAGGGGCAAAGCCAAACGTCGAGTTTGGGGCAATAGGAAAAAGGCCGAGGGGGCCACCTGGAGACGGAAAAGTGACCCTCACCGGCCTCCGGAAGGGGGAAAGGAGGCCACCTCGTCGCCCTTTGCCTGCTTTGTTCTGGTTTCGTTTGTTTTCTGGGGTCGCACCCCTCGGAATGTAAAGTACATTGCCGAGGAAAGAAAACAGTTGGCCCTGCAGCGAAAAAACCGACCCGGTAATTCTAAACAAACAATTTGTAAATTGTAAACAATTGTAAACAATTTGTCTACAAATCTATCCCAGCTACTGTACACGTTTCTTCTGAGTAATAATCATAAATAAGTATTTAGGGATTTCCCGTCTATTTTCTTCTTGGGGAAACAAAAAATACACACCGTGAAAGTTACCGATAGTAACTTTTAGGCACCCGCTGAAAACGTCTCTCCCTTTTTTTACCCGCAAATATAAATTGTGTTGAAGTGACACAGCACGCTCGCAACTTGGCGTTTGCTTAGCCGCTTTTGCAAAGTGAAACTAACCTTAGCCGCTTAACCCTCTGCTTGCCTCGCCCTAATTGGCTTAATCCCGTTTTCATTGGAAGCACTTAAACCTCCGTAAATTTCTTTTGTTCTCTTTATCGTCCTCTTCCATCTCTCGCACTAACGCCGTAATCGGATTAGACACAGCCATTTATTTACTCGCCTTCCTTTGCACCTCCCCACGCTGCGATTTAAAGTCACCCGCCGTCTCCAGGTTTTCTTCTTCTGAGAAGGGCCAGATTTAAGGTTTTTCTCCCTTGATCGCCTCGGTTTAAGAGGGGGAGAGAGAGAGGGAAGGGAAGATCGTGCGATCTCTCTGGAAGGACTCAAGACGTCCCTTTTGCCGTCCTGAAACAGGACCACCCAAATAGACCCCGTATCACACTTTCACGCCTGGGTATGCTAAGCAGGTCTGCCAGGGGGGAAAGAAAATAATAATAAAAAATAAAAAAAAAATAGGAAAGCCGGCAGGATGGCCGGTGGGCCAATTTTCCTACCGAAGCATCACACACCTATATTATTTCGGATTTTTAAAAACCGTTCGCTCTTTTCTCCGCTGGAGAAAGAATGAAGTCGAGCCAATTTCTCGCACACACCCGGCTCAGGAGACCCAACCTCCCCGGCCGGCCGTCTCTACCTGAGAGCGCTCGCCAGCCCGGTTGCCACCGCCGCCGCCGCCGCTTACCTGTGAATCTGTCTTTGACGAACCGCCTGCTACTCTCCATCCAAGGGAAATTGAGGCTGCCAAGGCTGGGTACAGCTGGCATGGCTGGAATGGCGCTAGAAATTGGAGGTGGCACTGCCCCAGGGATGGGTCTGTGCGCTGGCACCCGGATCACGCCAGATGGAGCCAAGCTGAGGTTCACACTGTAAGATCCAGAGTCTTCGAAGGGAGCCCCGATGCCAGCAAAGGCGCCGGGGAGGGAAGGGTACGGGGCGCTGCTTCTGCTGCTCACGGGGCTGCCCAGGTAATTGGTGCCGCCGCCGCCGTCTGGTCCTCGGGGGGCGGGCTGGGAAGGGGTCTCCTGATCAGAACTATTTAAAATCTGATCAATCCCGAAGCTGATGGGTTCGTGTTGATGCGGTGTCTGCGTGTTCGTTGGCTGATCCATCCTTGGTGAATAGAAATATTGGCTCAACCGGGAGGGGAGAGGGGAGAAAAGGAAAAAAAAAAAAAAAAACCCCGGCAAGATTTCCCCTATAAAAACGCTCCCTTCCTTTTTACAGTAGATCCATGTAAGGTCCTGGTTTGTATAGATGTCACACTGAAACTTTGCCAAGAGTGGTCCAGCCCGACAGGCTCTGTGTCATCTTTTTTGAACCAAACCTTGAGTTTCTGCTTCTAATTTCTCTCCGACAGCTGCCATTGGCCACAACAAACAAGCCTCTCTCCTCCCATTGGCTCCCGGGTTTCAATAAAGGCCTAATTCATTGGAATAAGAGCTTAGGGACTGTTCCATGGTGACATCATTTTAACAAACGCACAATAGGTCAAATTTATTAGCTAAGCTAATGTGGGGCGGATATTGCAATGCGCATCTGCGACGGTTGTCTTTCGAAATTAGCCAGATGAAATTGAACAAACCTTTACAATTACGAGGCGAGCTGCTCCCTCCCTTCCACTCTCCAGAATCATTAACCAAGAGGGGAGCTGAGCAGAATTCCAGGCTGGTGATGTTGAGACTCGCCTCCCCCCCACCCTCCGAGCCACCCACCGCGGGGGGGGGATTAATTGGGGATCCACCTAAATCTCTCTTAGCATTCTTTGTTTATAAACACATCGTGCGGAAAGGAAGGCCGGCAGAAGGCACCAAGTTGAAGCAAATGCCTTGGGACACTCCACCCGATTTTGGAACTGTCCAGTTCCACTTGGAAGATATTCCCTGCTGGTGGTGGTGCTGGAATGAAAAAGCGAGAGTCTGATTTGAAATCCAACTTTCTCCTTCTTCTTCTACACACACACACACACAATATCCTTTGCGCTTTCCTGTTGTTGTTTTTTTGGCCCGTCTTAAAACGACAAAGCCTAACATGACTTTCCAGGGCTGGAAATTTCCCAGAAAACCTGCCTGGGATGGCCTGGCAAGCGGGTATTAGTTTCCAACCGTAGATTGCATTTGATAATGGGAATTGACTTTAGAATTAGGGTTTTCTAAAGTTACACAGGGTGTGCTGGAAAACATACATAGACAGATGTTCATAAGTGCGGGTGCACGTATGCAGATACCCAAAGTATCCAACAAATTATAACGGTCTATAACAATTGTGATCGTTTTCCTGAAGAAACAGGGAAGAGGTCTGGCCCCTTTCCATTCCCCCCCCCCCAAAAAACATACCAAATGTATACCAAATACTTGCTCTTAGAGTAGCTTAGATCGGCCTGCATAGAAAACAAACATGCCATTTCCTGGATGCCTTGTATTTTTAATCTGCTTTCATTGAACCGACTCGCTCGTCAGGGTACTGGTTTTCTGTTGTTATTATTATTATTATTGTTATTATTATCATTATTCCTAATTCTTTCTGCCCCTTCAAAAGAAAGGTTCGCTTCTCCCTCGGTGAGGCTAGCTGGCATTTGCTTGGGTCAGCTCCTCGATTGCAAAAGCTGGGGGAGGGAAAAAAAGGGAGCACCCTAAGAAGAGATTCCGTTTTGGATTAATTTGTGTCAACCCAATTTATTGCCACGCTGCCCGGGTTTTGTGAGTTTGGAGACGCTCCCTAACGTCCAAATTGGACTAAAAGCGTTAAAAATTAAATAACGTTCAAATGCATTTACTTAGTTCCCCCTTTATAAAGGGAAATGAAAACAGGGAATAGAATTTTCTTTTTAATAGAATGTAATAGTATTTGATCAGCACCTGTTAGGGCGGATTTCATGATTCAGAAAGCGGTGACAAGGAGGGAGTATATTAGTTTTTAAAGCTTAGGATTCAATTACCGCAACACACTGAATAATTTAAGTGGCAACAGTAAATGCAAACAGACCTGTGGAGTTTATTGGGTTTATTGCACAGAAAAGGCTGCAGTACAACGGGGGCGAGCCTTCGTCCTTCCTTTCTTCCGTCCCTTCCTCCAGTCCTTTTCTTCCCGTTTGATTCGATTTTTCCAGTAGAGCTCAAAAGGAAAACAATCCATTTCATCTCTTAAGATGCATTTCTTAATATTTAAGACTATTTGGGTTGTTGTTTTAAAAAAAAACCAGCAGCAACATACTTTTCCAATGGTAGGACGTTTTAATTTAGGATTTTTAAATATATATATATATGTCTATTTATTTATACATTGAAAAAGATAGTCGGTTTGGTTCTTTTCAGAAGAACAATTGTTATGACTATCAAAAATAATGTGAGAATGACATCGAAAACAATTGTTCTTCCGAAAAGAACTCATTATTATTAATACCATCTTTTGCATGTGGGATTGAAATCAAGGGGTCCTCAGTCCTGAGCTTGCCCGATGAGCTGGTCGAGCGAATAACATATCTTGGGACCCGCCTGGAAGCCGAACTGAGGCTGCCACCAGCCAGGCGACCCGCTTGTGCTGGTTCTCTTGGCCCATTCTGGCTTTCTGAACAGACCCAAGACGGGCGCGCAAGTGGGGCCGCTGAAGGGTTTCCTCCTGCTCACTTGTCGTGGGGGCCGCGGCAGATTCCGGAGATTTTTCACACACACACACACACACACACACACACACCGGTATAAACACGGAAGGAAATTCAAGGTCTCCGTGGCCACTTTGGGCCTGCAAAGGAGAGCGTTGCTTGGGAAGACCCCGGCCACTCCTCTCTCTTTGAAAAGAGGCCGGCTTAGATAGGACGAGTTTGAGATGGAGCAGAGAGGCAGGTCGCCTCATTTTTGACTCGCAAATCGTGTCCTTTCTGCTTTCTCTTTTTCTATCCTCAAGTCCTCGTCCCCGAAGCAAGGGAAGCCCGAGCGGAGATTTCGTTTCTCTGCGCGGCCGGGCGCTTCCTACCTCTTGCAGGGGCAGGGCTTGAAGGCGATTTAGATCCTGCGATCAATTCCCGAAGGAGGCTACCATTTTTTAAAGTATATATATATATATATTTTTTTTGCGGAAAACTTTCGAGAATCCATAATTAAGAACAGAGAGGCCTCCTGGTTTGTTGATTTCATATATTTATTCACTCAACAATATTTTAAACACAGAGACAGAAACATACACACCCGATCAATATAAAACACACCCTTCTTCAACACGGCAACCATGCATGGAGGAAAAAAAAAAGGAATAAAAGAGAGGTGACTTTAATTGTCAGGCAAGGAAATGGCATTTCGAAACGGCTGGAGGATGGGGAAGCGCTTCCACTTAAAATCCTGCCTTTAAAACAACGACGACAATGACAACGAGGCACCAGATTGATCTTTCTCCGGATTTTCATAGGCGTCCAAAGAAAGAAACTCGATTGCACAGACACGACCGGGCAGTTTTCTTTGTACGTTACAAAAAAAGGTTTTGCGCTGCTTTCTTCCCTGATGTCCCCCCCTCCCCCGCCCATTGCAATCTACAGTCGTGAGATTCCCTGGTGGCCTCCCGTCCAAGGTTAACCAGGCCCGACGCTCCGGCATCTCCCAGCACAGCCCTCCGTGAGACGCCGTCTTTCTCTGCTCACACCCCTTTCGGACCAGCCAAAGGGCCGAGCGGGCCTTCGTGGGGGGCGGGGTGGGGTGGGGACAGCCAAAAGGAACAAGGCGGCCCGATCCGGGGGAAATAGCAGCCTCGGACTATTTGCGGGTTGCTCTCTCTGCAAGCCGGTGGAGCTGCCCGCTTTAGGTCCGGTCAGGAAGCGGGGTGGGTGGAATGCGGCGGGTCTTGCTTTCCCAGCTAATCCGATTAAAGGGAGGCAAAAAGACCGGCATCTGGGCCAGAGCCAGCTCGTTTCCCTTGGAGCTTGGCTGCTTTTTCGGAGAGGCCCTCGCCGCGGTGGGAAAGCTGGGCGACGGGGAGGTGGGCTCTGCAGAAGGGACGCGACCGAATCGAAGCGAACTATCCCTGAACCAGGATGGGCCAAGACGCGCGCGGGCACGTGGGGACACCTTTGGCTTCCGATGTTTTTCCACGTCGTGTGCGCGTGTACACAGGCACACCCCAACACCCTCGTTCCCTGTTTTTCAGTGTATACCATTTGTTTGCTCTGTGTGTTTATATGGGAGGGATCTCCCCTCCTTCCGCTGCGCCCTCAAGACATGGCTGTTTCAGCTGGCAGGTCTGGCCTAGGGATATTTTAAATTGGATTTTAATCAACTTTTAAAATAAGAAAAGGCCTATTTAAATATATCTTTTAATTTATTTTAAATTTGGTATATTTGTATCAATTGCTCTGTTTTTTAACTGGCTGTAAGCCGCCCTGAGTCCACCAGGAGAAGGGCGGGGTATAAATACAATAAACTGAAACATATGTGTGTGAAGAAAGGTTGGGGGGGGATGAGAGGGGAAAAAACAACAACTTCGTGGGCCTCTCCGGTAGGGCGGACAGACAGGCACAGAGGCACCCCGTAGTTCAGCACCTCGGACAGCGTTTTGCATTTCTCTTCCCCCTGCAGGGTGGGACACCCTATACTCCGAAATCCCAAATGAAATCCCTACGTTTGGACATTGTTGAGTGAGAAAACAAGAGTTCAGTCTTCGTTAAGGTCCAGTCCGGAGTTTTTATACAAGAAGGCGAAATAAAAGCAAAGAAAGCAACGGATGGGGATGGGAAAGTGTGGTTAAGAAAGGCTCCGTCTGGGGGAGTAGTTCTGCTCCTCGTTTTGCCCGATTAAAAACCTCCAACGCCTGCAGATCATCTTTGAGTTGACTCATTGAAACTAGGGATCTCATCGAGAGGGTGGAGTGGGGGTGGGGGGGGGGGTGGAGCCTTTAATCTCAGCTAAAAAGCGAATATATGGGTACAGTATGTGTATACGTATCTATGAAAACTACGTATCTGCTTATATTTTGAGAATGATTATTTCCGGATAACGATGCAAGGTATTTAACGGAAGAAAAAAATTTACCGGTCCCCGCCGGGAAGAGCGTACAGTATCAAAACCAAGATAAGGAAACTACAGAGGAAAAGGAGACAGAAACAGAGATCGACAGAGAGAGAAGGGCC